AAAATTAGTAATACATGTAGGTAGTCTAACTTACAAATTTTTAAGGAACATAAAACAACAATTAAATAAAGAAATGTTGAAAATTTCAGCTTGGTACGGTCATTATTTCCCAAATTATTATAAAATAAATATGGAACAATAGTGTCCCAACACATACCCGAATAAACGTGATTTTTATATCAAATCAAAAGAGTTTTTTCAGTTACACTTCGGTCGAAATCTCCCGTTTTCGAGAATGCGCCGCCTGGACATACCATTGCTTACAAAAACATTACTAGTTTATTTAAAAAAAAATTATGATTTGTGGTTTATTCTATAGAAAGAAGAGATGTTGCTGAACTAGATATTTAAAAATTCATTGATGTACCTAAAGCTGTTTTAATTTTATGGCTCTAGTCCTCGATCTTTTTGATAACCCTCGTATATATTGGATTAGAAAACTTCATTAGAAATCCGTACAAACAAAGAAACTTACATAGACAGTTCAGTAAATGTTCAATCAAGCCTCTTTCTTTACTCCTCATTAAAATATTAACAAGAGAAACTTCAAGAGCACTGTGCAACATTATATTCAGGAAAAAATGTAAATCAGATGTGGATGCTTAAAAATTACAAAGATCTTTTGAGAATTTGATATTACAAGATTTCATCAAAATCTACAGCTTAAAACTTACAACTTTTCAACTCTATACACAGCCATTCCCCATGATAAATTAAAGTCTAGGCTTTTTGATCTCATTGACAGCTGTTTTTTTTAAATTAAAATGGAACTCGTAAATTTACTTACCTTGCCATTGGTCATTTGAAAAATTATTTGTTAAAAACATTCCGATTGTACACGTAAGTACTCTGAAGTTGACATCAAAAAGAAGCTCGAGTTTCTGAATGACAATATCAATGTTGTTTTTGGAGACCAGGTCTTCTAACAATCTATTAGAATTCCCATGAGTACAAATTGTGCCCCGTTACTGTAGACCTATTTTTTCATATGAAACAGACTTTTTGTAAAATCTTATGCGTGAAAAGGAGAAAAAACTTGTTGTGGCATTCAACTTGACATTTAGATATATCAAAGACGTCTTGTCAATTACCAATAGTAAATTTAATTCCTATGTCGATATGATATATCCTGATGAGCTTGAGATAGAAAAGATAGAAATAGGAAATGGGATACAGTGCAGGGAAATAATTTTGTTACAGCATCAATGCTGATTTTGGTGCTTCCTATGCTTGCTGATTTTTGATGCTTCCTTTACTTGCTGATTTTGATGCTAGTTATCCTTATCCTGATCCTGGTTTGATCCTTATCCTGATGCTGGTTTGAAACTAGTTCAATGCTAGTAATGCTACCGTAAGTAGGATTATCCTGCCGGAAGTGGATAATTCAAAAACAGCATCGCTATTTTAAGCCATTAAAATAATTTTTGGGGTAATTTTTATTTGTAATTTGTATTAAATGACTTTCCTTTATCTGTTTTCACTTTGATCAATGCTAGTTCTATCCTTTGCTTGCTGATGCTGATCCAAGTAATGCTGTTTTTTAAATGCTGATGCTAGTTCTATCCTGATCCTATTTATGCTGATCCTGATGCTGGTTTATGTAACAAAATTAGTTCCCTGCACTGTTTGCGTTAAAATGTGTGACTGCGGAGAAGGGCGTTAAAGGCATCCTTTCGTTAGTTCTATGGTCGATACAATGACCTCGTCAGGAAATACGATTTATCATTGAGTCAAATGCTGACTGACGTTTTTCATAAATAATTGTCAGTCCATCGTTTACAAAACTAACAGTTAATTTTGTCAGGTCTTTGATCTGGCTACCGTACACATGTATCCAAACTCCTTGAAACTATGTGAAAGATTAAATATTTACGGCGACTGTGTCATCAAATTATGAACTCTTGCACAATCTTAGATTTAATATTCAAGTCGACTGGGTCTTTCAAATCATGAACTTTTGCACAATCTTTGTCTTTTATCATGGTCCAACTAACAAGAAGAAACAGAATTGTTTACAGATTTTTTTCTGTTTTTGATAATTTTAACAAAAATTACACGGCAAGTGTGACCAGTCAATGCTCCACCATGGTATCTAGATCCAATACTGATGTTTCAGTTGCAGTATCGTATATATCTTCAAACCAACACAGAATTACCCGAAACAGGACTGGTTTGGGGAATATCTTAAAGCAATAATCATGCTTTTATGAGTCATATTAAAAGTTTGGGTTATTTCTGGCCGTTACTGCCCTAATATATATTCCTAGTCAGTCATTACTTTAAATTGAATATATTCAATCAGAGATGCTTTATCATCAGAAGACGGGAGAAAGTTGAATTTATTTGGAGGGTAGGTGGGTGGCTAAGCTTTCCAAACAAATATAGTTCCTAGTACTTATAAACAGTTGTATGGAATTTAATCAATGAATGATGAATAATAGGATCCTTTTGTTCAAAATCCCTGTTAAGGGTACATTTTATAAAGATGTGTATGTGAGTAGAGGGAAAACATTAGTTTAGTTTAAATTGTGAGCTAATTTATGCATTATGATAGGTACACAAAGCCTATTTGACTCGAAGGAAGATGTTCACACTGGATATAATGACATAGGCTTGTCTAACTATACAAACAAACTGCTATAGGTAGGAGGGGACTCATCTGTCCAATCTTTCTTAATATCATCTTTGAAATTTGAGATCACATTTAAATCGGCTGGGACAATGTGACGTTCTTCCTGCTCTGTATTTCCAGAAGATTGAGGGGATATCGGGGCATTTCTAGGTTCTTCTCTACAGCTATTCATGTCGATAGTTTCTGTAGATGAAGGACTATGTATAGCAGGATCTTGCAATGTTTGTGTTGTGAATTGGGTCCCTGTTTGTCTAGACGCATGTCCTAAAAAATACATTTGATCACAATTTCTTATGTTGACGGTTTCTTCAATAGAAATACAACTTAAATGATACGCATATTTTGTGGAAGACATAAAATAAACAAAAACATCTAATAATGTCGGCGACATACGAGGGTTGTTCGGAAATTATTGAGACAGTTACATTTACTCCATAAAGGATAGAGATAATTTCATGAAAATTCATCAACTTTTTATAAAGAACTAGTAAAACACTTTCTAATTCCTCTGTTAATAAGAAACGTTTTGGTGAAATGATAAACATGCATATGTCTATCGACCCGGAGCAGCATCATTACTTCTTTTAACGTCACTTCAGCCGGAGATGGTTTTGCATGTAAAAACGATCGTTTAAAAACGAAGTTTAATACATTTCCTTTTTTGTCATCACAAATAACATTACAAAACCAAACAGTTTCTTTTCTTTAAACTATTCTTTTAAAATGTATGCTGTTGCTGTTGCTACCCCAGTGTAAAAATTTTATTTGTGGAAAAAGATGATTAAGAATTATGCAGTGCCGATCTATGCAAAGCGGGTCTACGATATGAATACAGTACGTAATAACTGATGGTCGTCCGGAGTTTTTGATTTTACTCTGGTTGAATTAATTGTAAAATAAAAATGTATTCCAAAGAAATAAGATACCCTAACACATTATATTTCTTCTTGTTGTGTTATTGTTTAGCAGGTCGTTCAGTCTGGAAAAGAGTTCTACATTGCGCTACACAAAATTTTAGGTGTGCTGGCTGCTCCGCCCTTGACGTCAAAATCCTATTTTCTGTTCTTAGCAGATTTCTCTACCGCGTTTTATTTTTTATGATCTCCGTACTCCTGATCAAACTTCAAACAAAGTTGCACAACATGAATTTGAAATAAAGCAGGACAATTATATACATGAATTGAATTATTTTCGCTCTTATTATAGGTCCCCGAAGAGTTAGAACGTTGGTGTCACATATTTTCAATATCTGATTTTGGGACTGCTCCGGGTACCCCTACTGTTGACGCATTTATATACCATTGCACAGAAAATATTTAATAATTGTAAAATATTTTTTGTTTTTATTAATTCTTTGTGTATGTCAAACGTATATGCAAATTTTCACCAAACGACGTTCATTAGTAAGCAAAATATACACAATGTCTCAACAATTTTCGAACAGCCCTCGTATGATTGCATATTGGATGCTTGGTTTTCTATTAACTCAAAATATAAATTTAGAAAGATTAATGCCTTCGTATTCTTTTATATTGGCCTTTCAATTCTTCTATTTTCATTATTTTTAACAACTATGTTAAAATGCTCTGTAAATGATATACCATGTAAACTATAACCTGATAATATTGAAATTATTATGTTACATTTAGATTATTAAGCCCTTTTATCATTTATCTAAAATATGTATGTGATAACCAACTATATCCTCTGTAATTACATGTATATAATGATATAGATTATAATATCAGAATATTTTATTTGAGTAATTTAGTAAATTATAGAGCCACATTACTCAAACAAATTTTGTCTGAATATAACAAACTGTTTTCGGAAAAGAAAAATATCAATTACGCTCAAAGTCAGCTGGATCGATATATGTTTGGACAGTACAAACGTCTAATTCTAAAATATTTCTGTTGGGATCAGTTGCAATGAAAAAGTGAGCATCTAAATTTCATCAAAATCAGTTTCCAAAATGCATCTTACCGTAATTCATTGGAGTTTTAAAAAAATTGATTTTCCAATGTATTCATTCCTAGTATGTAAAACTTTAATTGTCAATTGTGGCCCCGCCCTACCACTGGGGGTCATGATTTGAATCTACACTACCTGAGGTGCTTCAACTTGAGTTTCATCTTTCCTGGCCCAGTGGTTCTAGAGAAGAAGATTTCAAAGATTTTTCCTATATATTCCTATGTAAAACTTTGATAAGCCATTGTGGCCCTGCCCTACCCCCATGGGACATCATTTGAACAAACTTAAATCTACACTACATGAGGATGCTTCAACAATAAACATGAGTTTCATCTTTCTTGGCCCAATGGTTTTGAAGAAGAAGATTTTTAAAAGATGCAATTAATTTTTCCCTAATTCATAATTATCTTCCCTTGGAAGAGGGCTTGGCCTTCCATTTGAACAATTTTGAATACCCTTCATCCAAGGATGCTTTGTGCCACTGGCAAGTTTGCTTGAAATTGGCCCAGCAGTTCTTGAAAAGAAGTCCAAAATGTGAAAAGTTTACAGACAGACAGACACCAGACAAAATGTGATCAGAAGAGCTCACTTGAGCCTTCAGCTCAGGTGAGCTAAAAACTAAATTTAGGCATTAGTTTAACCTGTTAAAATGGTGATTTCTTCCTCTTCTTTAGCTTTACATAGTTAAACAGCACATCCTGGGAGACCTGTCAAAATAAACTCAGTACAATGAGTACATATTTCTGTAAAGCTTCAATGTCATGAAAACTAATGTTATTGTTTGTTATTTTTTAGATTATTCATGGAAATATAGACCTGAATTTTGTTAAGTCTTTATAATACCAACCCGTCATATTAAACAAGAGGCCCATGGGCTACATCGCTCACCTGAGCACTATGGCTAGGAAAAAATAGAAATTGGTTTATTATTGAAAAGCTTCAATCCAAAAGTAGTCCCATGACCAGTCATGGCCTTGCTATTCTTGAGAAGATGAGAATTTGACTATATATATCTATGTAAACCTTTGGTTGGCCATTGTGGCCCCGCCTTATCCCCAAGGGTAATGATTTAAACAAACTTGAATCTGCACAACCTGAGGATGCTTCCATATGAATATGATCAATTATGGCTTTGCTATTCTTGAGAAGAAGATTTTTAAAGAATTTTCCTATATATTTCTATGTAAAACTTTGGTCGGCCATTTTGGCCCCTCCCTACCCCCAGGGGTCATGATTTGAAGAAAATGGAATCTACACTACCTGAGGATGCTTCCATATAAATATGATGAATTAAGTTTTGTCATTCTTGAGAAGAAGATTTTTTTAAGAATTTTCCAATAAATTTCAATTGAAAACTTTGGTCGGCCATTTAGGCCCTGCGCTACATGCAGAGGTCATGACTTGAACAAACTTGAATCTACATAACCTGAGGATGTTTCCCCGTAAGTTTCATCTTTACAGCCACAGTGGTTCTTAAGAAGACTTTTAAAACATCCCACCAAATTTTTCTTCTTTCCCAAATATCTCCCTTTGAATGAGAGCGTGGCCCTTCATTTGAAGAAACTTAAATCCCCTTCACCCAAGGATGCTTTGTGGCAAGTTTGGTTATTTCGAAATTAGCTCTGCGGTTCTTGAGAAGAAGTCGAAAACATGAAAAGTTTACAGACAGACGGACAGACAGACGAACGCTGGACAAAATGTGATCAGAAAAGCTCACTTGAGCCTTCGACTCAGGTGAGCTAAAAAACTAAATTTACGCATTAGTAAAACCTTTTAAAAATGGTGATTTCTTCCTTGTCTTTAGCTTTACATACTTAAATAGCACATCCTGGGAGATCTGTCAAAACAAACTCAGTACAATGAATAAATATTTCTGTATAGCTTCAATGTCTTAAAAGACTAATGTTATACATGTAGTTTGGTTTAATTTAGATTATTCATGAAATTATTCATGGAAATGTTTCATGATGCATTGATAAAAGTTGTCTGATACTCTCAAAACTGTAACACATTTCTTAATTTACTTTCCGATTGTCTCAAACCTGTTAGATATAAAGGTAGCTAGAAATATGTCCAGAGGACATGAATGCCCCGCCGAGGGTATATTAGTAAAGCAACATGAAAATTTGTATAAATGTATGAAATTTGATCAGAATATCTTGAATTGTGATGCAGTTGAAATGCTTACATTAGTATGTATCAGCATATGAAGTTTGACACTAATTTCATTAAAGTGAGGTCAAGGTCAAAGGAAATGCCAAGGTCAACAAACTGTAGATTCAGTTGAAAAGCTATCATCAGTAAGTATCAGCATATGAAGTTGAAAAAATATTATAAATCTTTAAAACTGATTTTTAAAAACACAATTTGATAGAGAGGTCAAGGTCAAAAATGTTGATGCATTTGCATATCTCTCCTCAATATGTATCAACATATGAAGTTTGATAAGAATATCTAAAATGATATCTTTAATTAAAACTGACTTAAACACAATTTGATAACAGTGAGGTCAAGGTCAAATAAAAGGTCAAGGTCAAATTGTTGATGCAGTTGAATTGCTTACATCAGCATTTATAAGCATATGAAGTTTGACAGTGATTTAGGAAAAGTGAGGTCAAAGGTCAAAGGAAAGGACAAGGTCAAAAATGTTGATGAAGTTGAATTGCTCTCATCAAATAAATATGTAACAGCATCTGAAGCTTGATAAAAATATCTCGAATGGTATCTTTAAAACTAAGTAAAACACTAATTAAAGATAAGTGAGGTCAAGGCCAAAGGAAAGGTCACGGTAAAAAATGTTGATGCAGTTCAGGGTCCGACACTCGTCATAATTTGGTCTCGCCATTTGGGCAACCTTGGTATGATCACAGGTTGCCCGAATGAATTTCAGGTCGTCCAAATAAAATATCAGTTGAACAAAACTTAATGTGCAATTGCTTAAAATTTGTTAAGATAATTAGTAGAAGTTGTACGTGTATTGTATTAAAAAATGTAAACCAGACATTTTTGGAATTTAAAGATGTAAACTAGTATTTTTTATCACACAAAAATAAAAGCAAAATCAGACATGCAGAATGCTAAAGTTTGTAGCTTAAAACATTCATTTTCACTTGCCATGAAGGCCTAAATAAATAGGGTCAAATAACCCAGGACAGAATTAATCTGGTGTTATATAACAGTGGACACCAAACATGGCTGTCTAACAGCAGAAAACGATCATTATGATCAGAAAGTTGTAGGGAAATGCAAGATGTTACAATGATTTACTCTTTATATTTAAGGTGATTGTTGACTAAGTTGGCATATTTGATATCTCAAATAAAATTTTATTAAAGACTAAAATTAGTAAAAATTGCCTCAGCTGATTGATCGAACGCATTTTTGGCAGGAGAAGAAATCTACGCCGCTGCAATTTGTTGAATGGGTTGGTTTTGTTACAGGAAGATATGTTTTCAAGGTCTTATGAAGTTTAGTTTAAAATGTTAAACATCATTATTGAATATTCCCAACTTGTCCCAGGTCGTCATTTGGATGAGACAGACTTAAAATCAGGTCGTCCGAAATCATTTCAGGGTGGAAATGACGAGGTGACGAGCGCGAATGTCGAACCCTGCAGTTGAATAGCTCTCATCAGTATGTATCAACATGTGAAGTTTGATAACACCATCTTGAGTGGTATGTTTAAAACTGAGCTGAACACTAATTTAAGAAAAGTGAGGTCAAGGTCAAAGGAAAGGTCAAGGTCAAAAAAAGTTGATACAGTTGCATAGCTCTCATCAATATCTATCAGCATATGAAGTTTAATAATAATATCCTGGATAGTTTATTTGAAACTTAGCTTTGAACTAGTGTTGTAAAATCGGACATATTTTACTATCGATTATCAAATTGAATCGGAAGAACACAATCGATTATATAATCGATAATTTGAACTATTAAAAAGCTTAAATTTATTAATTCAGCATGAGTAGAATTCCATGACATTTGACCGCGAACTTCAACTTATCTTTATTGGCATACGACATTTTACACAATTTACAAATAACCGAGTCCATCTGTATATTATTTTTGCATGGAGGCCCATCGCCCTTTTTCAGAAAGCCAAAAAATTTCAAACTTTAGATCGTGTTGCACCAGGATATTGATATAATTAGGCGTCAACCTCTTCACCATGCACGTTCGCCATTTTGTTTACACCAATTAGAGTGACGTCCCTTTGGTGAATATAAAAGGGAAACCTGATCGGCTTAAGAACTACGGCATGAAAAATATAGCGATCTATCGATGATAATATTAACAATCGATTGTCGCCGATCTGGGCCTTTAAACGACGATTTTTCGATAGTCGGCGACTATCGTAACAACACTACTTTGAACAGAGCTAAACACAAAGTGTGATGGAAGGACAGACGGAAGGATGGAAGGACAGAAGGACGGAAGACAGACATGACAAACACTAAATGCCCCAGCCATATTCATGGCAGGGCATAAAAATAAATACCTGTATAATGATAATTATCCTTGTAATCCTTTCAAATGTTGTACATTACATCCTGTAGATATCAAAATTAACACAAACAAATTAAGAACTGAGACAAGAATTCTCTTGTGAATGCAGTAATCTGTAATAAAAGTTCTTGGTACATTTCATGATCATGCCAGATTATTCTTTGCAACAATTCAATGGATAAGCTTATCGTTATTATACACTTTTCAGAATCATATTGCTTATTTTGTAATACGAGCATCGGACTATTTTTTTTTTATTTGTGCTTTTGTTAATTGATAAAAGGCATAAAAATTTCGTTAAAAACAGCGAACAAAAATATTATTCTCCCACCTACGTCCAAGTCCATTTTTAAAACTTAACATATTCCAATGATTTTTAAATATTTTATAGATATTTATAAGGATTTTCATAGAACATTACCTACGGTACTTGAGAGAACAAAGAAAGATTACTCTACAACTGTGGAATAACTTGATATGAATCGTTATTTTAAAAATTTATAACACAGCTTTTTTATGTCTCTCTCACGGGTGAGGGACACATGTTTGTAGACAAAAAACTATAAAACAATTTTTTTTTAACAAAATTCAAAGCAATGTACAAGTACAACATTGTATTTTAATAATATGTATGTGATTAATTTCTTTTTTTGAGTAAAACATAAAAACAGATATAACATCCCTACTCATGTTATTGTGATTTAAATTCAAGACACATGGTTTAGGTTGACCCATTCAAAGGTTATAGGATGGAGCCAGTTTTATAAATTAAATTGGCAGTATTATAAACAGGAAATTGGTATAGTCTGTTTGGACACTGTCTATTTCTTTTGAAAAGATGTCCTGTGAAAAATGTGTTTCTAGACCTTTATGAAAACTCATTATTTTCAACAGAAAAAAATGACATTTTTTGGACTCCTTAAAAATTATTGGGCATTGCTACCATTGCCCAGTTTACAATACCACTGTATCATAACTCTTTAGTGTGCAGTGTAGAGAGGGTTTCTTTAACTGTGGCATTGTCCAGTAGAATTAGAACTCTTTAGTGTGCATTGTAGAGAAGGTTCCTTAACCTGTGGCGTTGTTGATGAGAATCAGAACTCTTTAGTGTACAGTGTATAGGGTCCTTAACTGTGGCGTTGTCCAGTTTACAAAATCACTTCCTTGTTTATGTTATCAAATGACAACATAACTTACTTTGATTACTAACAACCCCATACCCTTAACCCTATATTACTGCTTTCAACAATGATTTGTAGTCTTATACATACTTTCAACAGTGACTTTGATGCTTGTTAATACTCAATTCCAACTCTTCAAAGTCAGTCGCCGCGTCGCCGTCGGTTCTACTTGACCGAGTTGTCGTTCTGAAATTATTATTTCACATTACGATCCCAATGTTTATATTCTTGACTCAGTTCAGCTTTGAGCACATGTAAAGGCTTTTTTATTGCTTATTCAATTTTTGACAAAGCTTTCTGACTAATAAAAGTCACACTCATTAAACTGATATTTTAATTTTGATTAAACTGCTGGTCACGTGACAAAGAAATATATTAATGTAACGAGGCAATCTCTCACCAGAGGGACCACTCCGCTTACGGAGCGGAGCCACTCAGCACACCTCGGCCGATTCCTACCTCATCTAAGATGTAGTTCACGGAATCAGCCGAGGTTTGCCGAATGGGAGCGGAGCGTAAAAACGCCCTCTGGTGAGAGATTGGAACATGAGGAAGTATATGCATTTTGAAAAAAAAAATATCGAAAGTGGGTTAAAAACGGGACAAAATCATCGTACATTGAAAAAAAATATCACTGAATGTGCGTTAAATTTGAAACATCAACGCATTTTAATTTTTTTTAAGTGCGTTCGGAGTGTACATCAACATTTTTACCATTGAAACTCTAAACTCAAAAAAATTTAAACAACATTTCCGGACTAAATTTTTTTTTTAAACTAATAGGGGGCAATCAAAGAAATAAAATTCAACTTACTTGATGAGAGAGAAAGAGAGGTGGGTGGGGGGAGGGGTATGGGCATTTACGAGAGCCAACTGTCCGGCCACTGCTTATTGCCAAACTGCCAACTGCCGGTGTCGCATAATAATTCAAAAAGTTCGTGCCATAAAAGGATGTATTCGCTTTAACAAAGGAATTTACCTTTAGGAGAGAACAATTTCCCGGAAAAAGTGACATTGAATAATTAAGATTTATTTGCTGTTTTCTATCGTACATATGTCTAAATTTTCCAAATTTGTATTTTATACCTGAAATTTATTATTTACAACTTTACAATAAACCTTCAAAGTTGACTGAAACACCATTTTGTCCGCTATTCAACTGTTGATTTTTGCATGAATTTTGGCCTAGAAGTCCTTCAGGGCAGGCCTGCCCCTAAATAAAATTGTGATATTTTGATAGGTTATGATGTTAGGAATGATTTAAGATAGGATTTGGGGGGGGGGGGGGGCAGTCCTGCCCTAGGGTCGAAATTCCCAAAAATCCTACGAAAAATAAGGAAACCTGATTTTGAACATCTGCTTCAAATTTCGACCTATTAATTTCATAGACGGACTAGCTCAGTTGATATATGAGTTAGTTTTACTCCGTGAATTGCTTCTTTTTAAAGTCGCGGTTCGAATCCACCTGGCACCACACTTTTAAAGTTTTAAATTTCGTCCTTTCAAAGGCAATTTAGTTTTTTTTTAATAGACTTGTGTATTTTCCTTCAATTATCTATCGTTTATGTATGCCCATTCTTGATACAAGAAAAACTATAGAGACAATCAAATGTACAGTTGTCAGTCAGGCGGAACATACCTCAATATAATCACACTTTCTCCGAGGACAAGAGTAACTCACTCTGTGTTATTTGAGCTGCGTCGAAGTTTAATTGCATATATTCCTTAGAATTTAATCACATTGATTTTGGCTACATATATCAGTAACTGTACTCCCTTGGATTTCATTTAGGCCTGTATAATTTGCACACATTAATGACATTTTTTTATATAGAATTTCAGAGACAGTAGACATTACCATTATGCACAATGAGAAGTAAAGACAAATATCAATTATTGCATTTGGAGAAAACAAACTCATAAAATCAATGAAAAGGTTTCTTCTACCTCTATTCACTGAAATAAAGATTTAGGAAAAAAACAAATTGTTAAATGGATTCGGCCTAATGTCATTAATTGGAACGGAAATCGACAGGCTTTTTGAAGAGAAAAAAACCAAGCCCGTTCCTATAGGTCAGGGGCCCGTTTCACAAACGTTTCCTAAGATATGTCGTAAGACATAACTTAAGATATGCCTAACTTATAACTTAGGAAGTTCCTAAGATTTGTCACAGCTGTTTCACGAAACAATCTTATCTTAAATTTTTCCTAAGTCGTTTCTTAAGTTGTGTATAATTTAAAGACTAATGAAATAACCTCTCTGCTCTATCTACAACTCTCAGTATGTTAGCATGGGTTATATTTTTAGCTTCAAGAGGGGAGGGGCGAGACATTGGGTCAAGGTCATGACACACCCTTAGGTTATAAGCAATCTTAGTGTGGAGTAGTAGATTCTAATGTCCCTCTGTAATAAAGATATGGACGGGACACGATTGCACAGACAGACGGACAGACGGATAGACACCTAGACGGACAGACAGACAGACGGACAGACGGACAAGGTGATTCCTATATACCCCCCCAAACTTCGTTTGCGGGGGGTATAATAAGTGAGATCAAGGCCAAAGGAAAGGTCAAGGTAAAAAATGCTAATGCAGTTGAATAGCTCTTATCAATATGTATCAACATGTGAAGTTTGATAACACCATCTTGAGTGGTATGTTTAAACTGAGCTAAACACTAATTTAAGAAAAGTGTTTTCAAGGTCAAAGGAAAGGTCAAGGTCAAAAAATGTTGATGCAGTTGCATAGCTCTCATCAATATCTATCAGTATATGAAGTTTAATAATCATATCCTGGATAGTTTATTTGAAACTTAGCTTTGAACACAGCTAAACACAAAGTGTGATGGAAGGACAGACGGAAGGACGGAAGACAAACATGACAAACACTAAATGCCCCAGCCACATTCATGGCAGGGCATAAAAATAAATACCTGTATAATGATAATTATCCTTGTAATCCCTTCAAATGTTGTACATTACATCCTGTAAAAGATGTCAAAATAAACAAACAAATTAAGAACTGAGACAGAATTCTCTTGTGAATGCACTGCAGTAAACTGTAATAAAAGTTCTTGGTACATTTCATGATCATGCCAGATTATTCTTTGCGACAATTTAATGGACTAGCTTATCATCATTATACACTTTTCAGAATCGTATTGCTTAGTTTGTAATATAAGCATCGGACTATTTTTTTTTATTTGTGCTTTTGTTAATTGATAAAAGGCATAAAAATGTCGTTAAAAAACAGCGAACAAAAATATTATTCTCCCACCTACGTCCAAGTCCATTTTTAAAACTTAACATATTCCAATGATTTTTAAATATTTTATAGATATTTATATGGAATTTCATAGAACATTACCTACTTGAGAGAACAAAGAATGATTACTCTACAACTGTGGAATAACTTGATATGAATTATTATTTCAAAAATTTATAACACAGCTTTTTTATGTCTTTCTCACGGGTGAGGGGCACATGTTTGAAGACAAAAAACTATAAAATAATTTTTTTTAACAAAATTCAAAGCAATGTACAAGTACAACATTGTATTTTAATAATATGTATGTGGTTTTTTTTAGTAAAATATAAAAACAGATATAACATCCCTACTCCTGTTATTGTGATTTAAATTCAACCCATTCAAAGGTTATAGGATTGAGCCAGTTTTATAGAAATAAAATTGACAGTAAACAGGAAATTGGTAAAGTCTGTTTGGACACTGTCTATTTCTTTTGAAAAGATGTCTTGTGAAAAATGTGTTTCAAGACCTTTATGAAAACTCATTATTTTCAAAAGAAAAAAATGACATTTTTTGGACTCCTTAAAAATTATTGGGCTTTGCTACCCAGTTTACAATACCACTGTATCATAACTCTTTAGTGTGCAGTGTAGAGAGGGTTCCTTAACTGTGGCGGTGTTCAATAGAATAAGAACTCTTTAGTGTACAGTGTAGAAAGGGTTCCTTAACTGTGGTGGTGTTCAATAGAATAAGAACTCTTTAGTGTGCAGTGTAGAGAGGGTTCCTTAACTGTGGCGGTGTTCAATAGAATAGGAACTCTTTAGTGTACAGTGTAGAGAGGGTTCCTGTGGCGGTGTTCAATAGAATAAGAACTCTTTAGTGTACAGTGTAGAGAGGGTTCCTTAACTGTGCCCTTATCGATGAGAATAAGAACTCTTTAGCAGTCTAGTCGAACTCTCAAACGGGGGTATACCCTCAAACGAGGGTTTTCCTTCCCTTAATGCAACGCGTGAAAGCGGAAGTGGAATTCAACAACGATAACTCTTCTTATCTAAAAAATAAATATTTTTTGTAATCACAAACATACAAAAATGAATTGTCTACACTTTTGTTTTCAATTTAAAACAATGATAAAAATGTTTTCGTTTCATTTCGTTTCATTTTTGTATTTACCTCATTTCTGAAGCACAAAGGTTTGTTAAAAGGACAGAGAAAATTCGGACGGGCACACAAGAAAGTATCGAAAAATAATAAATAACATGTTGATTACACAAGATTTGTAATACCGGGGAAGGGAATTATATGTACATGTTTAGGAATGGGTGATGGAAATCAACGCTTTGAGGGTGCTCATAGTCTGTGTGGCTTGTTAGAGAAGTTTGTCAATCTTTTCTTTCACGTGTTTTGTAACGGTGTAATAGTCAATCAAAAATATGTGTGACATGGAATACTTGTAATATTTTGACACATCTGTATTCCAGAATACCTATATTTTTGAGCCTTTGAATAAGTAATATTTTTTATCTTTGTGGGTTTGACCAGCAATAACTACGAACATTTTTGTATTTTCATTTAATGGTAAGATATAAAAAAAATCTTCTCACACCACTAAATGTACAGAAAATATGTAATTATCGATGTCAATGACTTATTTATGTTTATGACAATACAATTGGGTCATTCTTTTGCTATAGTTAATACGATATGAATACAAAGAGCCATAGCTGCCTTACCGACGACTCGGCCTACACAAGTATTTAAAAGGAAATCACCTGTTTCTATTTATAGATACATGTACCTTTTCAAATCAAAATCAATCCACATGTATCTTATCATTTTTGAACCACTGTTATTTTTTCATACTTGCAAGTTTGTAGCATGACAGTATTTTTACTTGTCCAATACTCTAATTCTAAACAAAATTGTTTGAAAATTTTAAAAATAAAACAGACTACAGCTATGACTTTGGTTCATTAAAATAGTTTAAGACTGTTTTTCCCCAAGATACTTTCAATGTGTAGTGTTGTATATTATATATCTCTTCTAAAAAAATATTTATACATGTGTGTATTTTAAAATATTAAAAGAAAACACAGGAAAATCCACACAAAGAAAAACAAGAGGCCCATGGGCCACAACGCTCACCTGAACCACCTCGGCCCAATTGTTCTTCAGAGGATGAAACAAAGGCACTTTTCCTCCATGAAATATGTTTTCCAAGGGTAACTTATAGACTAGATTTGTGGCCTCTTTAGTAAATTAAATCCATATAAGAGGGGAATGTTTTAATTCCAAATGAACCATCTGTTTACTTAATTACATTTAAGTGCAGAGGCTTTTAACACGCTGTTGTTTAAATATGTTCTCATTTCTCAAGACTGTCACAGGTAATGATTGTATATAATTATATTCATTTTTTATGCTTACATCAATTACAAAAATTGCAGTTTTAAAGATGTTTTTAAAATTTTATTTGATTTCAAGAATTATAACAAATGTTTTGTATTATTAGAAGTAAAATGTTACACATGCATGTATATTAGTACAGATTAAAAATTGAATTTTGATACATTTTGAGTACAGTGTATATAATTTAAAATTTGACACTTAAACTTTGTTAGGAATCTATCTTAATGAAGGAATTCCTTACTAGTGACAATTGAAGAGGATATCTCGATATATAATTATACTAGTATTGATTTAGATAACATTTATAAACTTGAGAATGAATGTTTAATGAAAAATAATACAGCATCAAAAATTTTAACAATACAGTCATAATACATATATTTCTTAAATATGTTGTTTACATGAAGAAAATAATCACCACTCAAAATAAATAATCTTTTCCAATGAAAATCGAAAAAAAGAAAAGATTATGTGAGTGAATTAGAAAGGAAAAAAACCATTTTAATATCACAGATCAAAATTTCTAACCTCAGATTCATGCCATATTGTTGGAAAGAATATTTGTAATTCAAATGATATATCATGTTATATAATATTTTGATTGTACAGTGTATTTTTCTTCAACATATTTCTTAAAGAGGTAGGTTTACCTCCCTTTACGGGCTGGCCATTGACCCCCTCTTTCCATACTTACCTGTAAATGACACTTATTATAGGCTTTGAAGTTCATATAATGGCAGTCACATTTTACTTCATAATCATAAAATTCCACACAATCCATGATAGAATATACAGAACTTTATAATAAACTCATTAGAATATATACTGAATCTGAGGTTTCACAAAATAATAATTATTATATCTGCTGTGTTGATGACTACAACAAGCATTGTAATTCATTTACACTCGTTATTTTAAAGAAGCATGTTTTTTCAAAACAAAAAATAACTATACAAAAAATATGAAATTAAAGTATAATATCAGTCTTAGATAGTCTATATTTCAGTTTTATGATATAAATAATTTTTAAAAAGTTGACTAGCATTATGACATGAATAAACATTCAAACACATCTGAGCTTTAGTTAAAAGTCCATAAATGAGGAGATCCTGACTTCTAAAATCACAGAAGCCATATGTCTGAGAAATGTCAAAATCACATAGCTATTACATTTATATAGTGTTACAGCTAGCTTATAGCGAATGTCTGAACCACAGCTAGCTTATAGCAGTGTCAAGGCACAGTCCAAATGATGTCACTACTATGAGTCAAAACTGTGCAAATTTAAATTCCAGTAATAGTCTCCTTCAATGTTACTATAATAATCGTGATGATCCTTGATTGTAATTTCAGTATAAAATCTATACCACACAATTCACTATAATATAGTCTTGTTTAAAAGATTGAATATATTAATGAAAGTATAAAAATATGATATTATTACATCAAATGGAATGGACATTTTGGAACAAGAAGTGGATATTAAATTGTTTTATCAACAGTTCACACTTTCTATTCTATATGAAAACAAGGCAATAAACTGCTGACTGAAATTTAAGTAAAAAATACAGCAATATGTCAAATTTTATCCAACATAAAGAAACACTAACTTTTAATAATTTGGGTTACATCTTTGAAGTCACTAAAAGACAACAAAATATCAGAATAATATTCCTCACAATTAAAAAAAATCCAGATATTCAGCAATACAAATATTACCATTGGAAATATGCAGAAATAAGCTAAGAATTGAAACAGTAAATCTAATTTAAGCAAAGTTTTAACATAGAAAGATGATCTTTTCATAAAAAAAAACAGAAGTCTCTGACAATACTGAAGCTCTACATACAATAAAGAAAGGTATAGACTATAAATGTAAAAAGTCATTTCATAACAATTTAAGGTAAAGGGGGAGTGAATATTTTGGAAAATAAAAAAAATTTGCATTTGGTGGCCATGACATATGCAATTTGTCAAACTGAGAATTATGCATCTTAGCATAGTCTAGCATAGTCCACTAATGTTACCAAGTGTTATTGAGATGGAGTAGTGTTTTGCATAAAAATATACAATAAGTACTGATGCAAATTAAAGAACAGCCAGATTGTTATAAGTGAAATGTTCCATCTAAAATGCATATGTAAAACATTTTGTAAAAAATAAAATCTTTAAAATTTCAAATGCTTGGTACTGTATTGCAGCCAAATAGGACTAATAAACCAATGGGGAAACTATATACAATGTAATTTAAAAAGTAGATTTAAACCAGCTTTAATAACAGGAAAATGTCATATTGTGTAAGTCCTGTAAAAATGTAATTGGTTGAAGATGATAATAAAATTAACAATCTTAGTGTTGATTAAAAACATTATCATGACTGTGACAAATAAAGCATCAAAATGTGATGGTCATGACAATGCTTAAAATGAAATTGGTACAGTATCAAGACACAAGCACATTTTTGATCACATTTGCTATAAATTAGTTTGTATAATATAAGCGTATGAAATTTCTCAATTTAAAAATGTCCAAACAATATCTCATAGAAATAAATGCTGGACAAAAATGGCTATGAAGAGATTCACAGGCAGACATTATGACACCAGTGTACACCCAAACAAGCAGATGGACATGGTGTTTCCAGTGTATACCCCAAACTTTGTGGGGTATGACTGGAAAAAATGGGGTGAGGGAGGGGGCACTGTTTTGCTTCTCCCTCTGCCGTGTTTTTATTTAGGAGCCCCATCATATTTAATGGAAACTAGTCATATCAAATGCACAAAACACTACTTTATGATCAGACCAATATGCTTCAATCACATCTGTTTCACATGGGGATATATTTGTAAAAATCAAATCAAGCTTCGAACCGGAGTCATGAGTAGTCTTTCTTACAATTTGTTGACAGTTAAACCCTTTTTCCATAAATGTTAAAAAGTCTGCATGCTCAGCAAACAAATCAAAATTAAAATCTCCCATGAATACCAAGTCTTTCTGATCATCAATCAAAGGCATTATATGCATTTCCACGTGATGTTTGAAATTTTCCAAAGAACAAGATGGATATTTGTAAATAACTATGACTTGTACATCTCTACATTGGTTTAATAGTATGTTTGCCTTAATAAACTCTATGGGACCATTGTTTACCTTTGAGATGCAAGTTGTCTTGTAAATGTCTTTCACATACAGTACTGTTCCATGATGTGGACGTCTATCAGAACTATCTAAAGTTTCATGGTTAAATATTGCTGTATATCCCTGAAGTTGATAATTTTCCACATCTGCTCTAGTTAATCTTGTCTCTGAAAATCCAACTACATCTGAGGCAAGAATGTTTGGCTCATTTTGAATTTGCGGAAAGTGTTTGTGAAGAGATCTACAATTGTTAAAAGCAATCTTTAAACGATGCAAATCAACCTGGTATATTGGGACATAACAAAGTTGGAGTGGCACCTCTTTTTTCATTCTCTCCATTTCATCTACGACTTGTTCATCCATAGATAATGCCTGCTCATTGAAGTTTAGAATATGCAGATGATCTACTGACCTTACCCGACTAAGTGCTACATAGTGGATGTGGGGAATTTTCCTCACTTTTGTTTGAGACATATCAATTACAATTTCATCAACTGTGCAACCTTGGGCTTTATGAATTGTTTTTCCTGCAGCTGGCCGTAATGGAAATTGGATTCTCTGAAAAGTATTGTAATTCAAAAGAAAAGACCGTTGAACTTCAAAAATTGGTGTCCAGTTCTCAGAAATTCCTTCATGAAATAAATGTCTGTATTTCCTTCGAGTAGTTTTTCCAATTCCAGAGTCAAAAAATTCAACCCAAACTATGTTTGGCCTTGATATACCTTCCATTCTCCTTTCAATTAATTGCACTTTACATGATGAACCATTTGTCAAACCATCAGATACATCAACATTGACTGAGATATCATATATCATCCCAACAGCAAGAATCAAATTTTGCATCAAATTGGCAGTTTTGCTTACATCATCTGCTTTAAGAAGAGATCTTAACAGTTTTTCTTTAACTTCTTTTGAATAATCTTTAATAACAGAATCAACTGAATTCACTGTGACCTTTTCTCCTCCAAGATTTTCAATCAACTGATTGTTGTATGCATCTACTTTAGAGTTCTGTGTAAAGAGATGAGGAGCATGATGGGGATAATTGTCACTTGTTTCTGTAATCATGCATCTGTGTATCACATTCATATCTTCTGCTGTCATTGCATTGTAACGAAGGCGATTCAGAAGTTGAGCGAACTCAATATCATCTTTTTGGCGCATGATTTCATCCAACTCAAAAATAGAAAAATGCTCCTTCCAAAGATTGCTTGCAAGAACTTGGGCATCATGAGTTAAATCCTGAAAGATCCAACGGTCCATCACAGGCTTAAGTTGGAAAAAATCACCAACAGCAATGATACTTATACCACCAAATGGTTTCTTGATGCCTGTGAGAAGTTGTAGACGACTGTCAATGAGTGCTAATGATCTGTTTCCCACCATTGATATCTCATCAATAATGATTACTTTCAGGTTTTGGTACTTTGTACGAAAAGTGTTCAATTCGTCAGAGTGCAAACTTTGTTGACTTTGATTAATTTTTTGATGGAAAGCAGATGCTATAGTTGCTCCTCCAATGTTGTATGCTGCCTTGCCAGTATAAGCACAAAGAAGTATTCTTATGTCATCTGGATTTTCACCCTCTGTGGAACATAGGTATCTGTGCAGAGCTTGATAAAGTGCCCTTATCAAAACAGATTTGCCAACACCAGCACCTCCAGACAAAAAGGAATAAATAGGTTCTGTCTTGGTTTTTACCCAGTGCAGGACATGCTTGAAAAATTCCCGCTGCTTTACATTTAGACTTCCTAAGAGATTCAAGTATTCATTGTCTGGTAATCTAACAGAACTTTCTTCAGTTATTTGTCTTGTTGATGGAATGCCAAGGTCAGATCCTATATCATACTGTCTCTGTTCAATGGGCCTCTCAGGATTAAATTGAACAAAGACTTCAGATTCAAGAGATCCCTCATTTTCATCTTCTGCCTCTCTTTGCTGAGCATCTGGTGCCAATTCATCAAAAGCTTCTGAAAAGTCCTCATTTGCCATTTGCAAAGCTGCATCAAGCTGTTCAGCATTGAATTCATATTCCTTGACCTTGTGTGTAAGAAATGACTTCTTCTGATGAAATGACTTCTCAGATGTGTCCATTCCTGATATCAGATCAGTGAATTCATTTCTCCAAGGCATGAACAACATAAGTTTTTCTCTGTAGTAATTTTCTGGATCAGTTTTGATATTAAATCGGACATATCTGATTACCCTTGGTACTTTCCGTCGTTTAATTTTTATGCCGTTTCTCAAAGTCAAAAGTGTATCACTTTCACTAAAGTCAACATCTGAATTGTCTTCATCATCTGACTGATGGTCCTGATCATCATCATTCACTTCATTTTCAGTGAACTCTTTTTCATCATCTTTAGGGAAGACAACATCTAGCTGTGATACGTAATCAGCTAAGCACCAGTTTTCAAGCTGCTTTGGGCGTTCTGCATACCGTTTGATAACATTGCTACATTTCACGTCTGTAGAATTTGGTGTCAACTTTTCTAATTCGGCATCTGTTTTGATCAGAATTACTCTGTCATCTGATGGACTTGTGTTTATAAAAACAACATCTCTTGAAGCTTTTGTCATTGGCATTTGTAACACTAAATATGCTGCTTCTTGAGCTCCAACTTCTACACTGTTGAGAAAATGATTCCCAATATGACGTACCTGTCTTTTTATGTCAAGATTTCCTTCTCTAGCTTCTTTTGCAGCTCTGTTAAGTAAATCGCTCATCCCTCTTTGTGATTTACTTATATAGGAAACAATATACATTGCACAGGCATATGGGTCCAAAATATATTGAATGTCTATGTTAGCTTTCCAAGCATTAAGAACAACACTGTTGTACGAGTTTACCATCACATCACATGGACTTCTTTTAAGAAAAACCTTTGGACCTCTTAGTGAACTTCTAATGCATTTAATGTAATCTTCCTCAGAAATCTGAAGTACTGTACTCAGGAGTTCCTTGTAAGGCAAATCACATCCATTTTTCATATCATTCAGCTGTTTCTGAATGTCATCATACATCTTCTTGTACTTATCAACATCACACTCTAGTGGCTCCAAAATCAAAGTCTCTTCAAGAGGAGGGAGGGGAAAACCAAATCGACATACAGCTTTGCCTCTCTTTTTGCATGTCTGTGAATGTTTGTGCACTTGTAACTCAGACAAACTATCTTCTTCATTCTTTTCACATTTCAGGTAATTATCTACATAATTTACAATCTCCTGTTCATTATTTTCATGATATTTTGGTGCATTTTCTATCCAAACAATCATATGAATGTGTGGTGATCCTCTCTGTTGAAATTCAGTTCTGTAGAAGAAGTCTTTTACAATACCAATTGGATGATGATCACTTCTCAACACTGAATTCATGAACAAACGGAATCTATGATCAAAGTACCTAGAGCAAGTGATGGGATCCTTTTGTACTAATTTTGATTTTTCAAACCAAGTCATGCTATTGATTTCCTCATCAGTGTATTCTTTTCCATCATTTAATACCCCAAGTGCTCTGATGAGATCATTCCATCTTGTATCTGCAGCAGACAGTGACATAAACCACGTTGGTAGACCTAGCTGTCTGATCATAGCAAACACATCCTTTTTTCTAGTCTCAAGATATGCAGGTGAATTTCGTAACTGCCTGAACACAAAGAAACCTTCATCGTGTCTGACAAGATTATTCACATTTTGAGAATTTTTCATTTCATTTGCTGTTATGGATCTTCCTTTGGTTTTACATTTCCTAAGAGCCAGGTTGCATTTGTCTGTAACTTGCTTCATTTGTATTTTTTTCAACTTGAAAAACAAATTTGGAACAGACTGAGCAGCACGTCTATCAACACTTCTTAATTCCCATTTAGCAATATCTGCATAGGACACATGTACTTGTCTCTTGTCATCTTGTAATCTTCCCTTTCCACAAAAAATTGTTGGAAATGATAAATACTCAGCTGTCTGGTCTTGGTATAAACTAAGTGGGCGTTGTCCTTCACCTGGAGCAAATGTGTAAATCTGATTCATGTCTCTTGAAGCATCATCTAACAGAGTATCGCAATTACCATCTCTACCAACTCCATCTACTTCACAGAATTCATCATCATCATCATCAACCGTCTCATCATCATCAGTATTTTGGTTGCTTCTTGTCTGTGTTCTGACTAGTTGCTGAAGTTGTAATTTCTTGAAACCAGTTTTCATCAACATTGATATTTGCATTCTTGTAAAAGTCACTATTGTTCATTAGCCAGTGCAATGCAATCAGTACTTTTGTTGGTCGAACATTTTCATGATAATCACATTTTTGATATGACAACTTTTTCTTTAATTTGACAGGAACTGTGACATTTTCATCTAATTTTCTTGGCAGGCTATTTACAGTAGGTTGAATATCAACTGGAACATTCACAATGTTTCCCCTTACAGAATATTGCCCACCTCTTGGCAACTCTCTTATTTGCATAAAAGGTATTCTCAGAGATACAAGCCTTTCTTCTAAAGAAAATAAATCTAATTCCATTGGCTTAAGTGGCCACATCATTCCATTTAAGACGGACAACTTTGGAATTTTTTTTTTTTGCCTTATTGATGAACAGCAAGTATTGCAAATCCATTCCACATTTTCAACAGACACAGTACTTGTAAGAAACTTGCTTTTACATTCATCATCTAGTTTGATGTTTTCCACTTTAGAAACACTTTCTTCGAACCATGTTTGCTGACAACATGAGCATACAAAAATTGGACCATGTTTTATCTGTTCATGAAAATTTTGGATGCAATCCTCTATATCTATTCCAAATCTTTTCCGTCTCCGTTGTTCATTTACTTTTTCACAATATTCTTTATCTTCTCTTTGCCTCTGTTTCTGTTCCCTATTAAGCAATCTCTCATGTTCTCTAAATGAAATGTTGCTTCGTTTAGCTTGCTTTTTTAACCTTTCCCTTTCAAGAACAATTGGGTTCTCTCTGCATTTTCTTTTTGAAATTCTACTGCCCTCTTTTTCTTTTCCTTGCACTTTAACATTCTGACGTTTTAACTTTCTACTTGCAGTATTCATTTCCCTTTCTTTCTCTTTAATTTCAGCATCTTGTCTCTTGGACTTTCTTGCAAGCTTATCCATCTGCCTTTCTTTCTCTTTAATTTCAGCATCTTGTCGCTTTGACTTTCTTGCAAACTTATCCATTTCCCTTTCTTTCTCTTTAATTTCAGCATCTTGTCTTTTTAACTTTCTTCCTGCAGTATTCATTTTCCTTTCTTTCTCTTTAATATCAGCATTTTGTCTTTTCATCTTTCTACCAGCGGTATTCATTTTTCTTTCTTTCTCTTTAATATCAGTATCTTGTCGCTTTGACTTTCTTGCAAACTTATCCATTTCCCTTTCTTTCTCTTTAATTTCAGCATCTTGTCGCTTTAACTTTCTACCTGCAGTATTCATTTTCCTTTCTATCTCTTTAATTTCAGTATCTTGTCGCTTTGACTTTCTTGCAAACTTATCCATTTCCCTTTCTTTCTCTTTAATTTCAGCATCTTGTCTTTTTAACTTTCTTCCTGCAGTATTCATTTTCCTTTCTTTCTCTTTAATTTCAGTATCTTTTCGCTTTGACTTTCTTGCATGATTATCCATTTGCCTTTCTTTCTCTTTAATTTCAGCATCTTGTCTTTTTAACTTTCTTGCAAACTTATCCATTTCCCTTTCTTTCTCTTTAATGTCAGCATCTTGTCTTTTTAATTTTCTTGCAGCTGCATCTCTTTCCTTTTCTTTCTGTCTTATTTCAGCATTGTGCCTTTTTAATTTCCTTGCAAATGTTGCAGTTTCAGTTTCTCTGCTTTTTATATCATCATTTTGTCTTCTCAACTTTTTTGCATGTATGTCTTTGCTTCTTTCTACTTGCTTAAACTGTACATTTTGTCTTTTTCTCCTCATGTACTCTCTCATATACCTTTTTCTGCATTGGTTTTGATCTGGATTTGTAACAGATGAGAGATGATCATCCATTCTGTAAAAAATTTTCTGCAGTGGACTTTTCTCTGGAAAACTATGATGCAAAGTTTTAATTGAGATTGGTAAGATTTCAAACTGCATTGCAAAGTCTATATGCATACTGTTATACATACTGTACAGATATGATACCAAATCATCAATACCCGTGCTTTGTACTAGTACTGATTTACCATCACAGGAAGACATGCCAGCACTGTCATGTGAATGAGAGTCAAAAAAGTAATATTCCTTGTCTGACACTTTGTATACACCAGAACAAATTGCCCCTATCATTATCAGCAAATATCTAGAAACCTGGAAAGCCTCTTCTAAAGCTTGATGCAATGATTTCACTTGACTAATTTGTTCTTCAGAGACAAGTAATCCCCACATGGTTTCAAATCTCTCGATGACATGATGATTTTCTCCTAAAGTTAAGTTACTTGGCAACTCATCCAGTTTAAGTAGCTTGTTTAGAAACATTTGTCTTTGCTGCAAATTCTTGACCAACATAACATAAACCTGATCCCCTGCTATTAAAGTGCTATCAATAAATTCTGTTGAGAATGAAAACCCTTCATAACTTTTAATCAGCATAACAAGAGCATTGCAGGTACACTGACTTCCTCTAGAAAATGATGAAAACCTTGCATCTCCTTGATGAAATGACCCAAATGCTAATTTTGTATTGCATACCTGGTTGATTGCATGACTAAGTGATTTGCTTTCTTCAGCCATTACACCTTGATTTTGCAGAGCTGCTTTGGTGATTGAGGCATTGTTTGTCAATTTTTGTTCAATATTGTTTTGCAAATTTTTTTCATGAGATTCATTGAGCAGATTTGTTTCACATAGTTCATTGAGCAGATTCATATCACAAAGTTCATTGAGCAGATTCATTTCACAAGTTTTTTGGTTTTCCTGTTTTTTTTGTAACCTGAGGGCAGGCTCCTCAGGGTCAACATTGGTTTTACTGTTTTTCACGAGGCCAGTCTCCTCAGTCATTCTAATGTCATGCATTGTTTTACTGTTTTTTAAGAGGCCAGTCTCCTCAGTCAAGTCCAGGTCAGAAAGTGTTTTACTGTTTTTCATGAGGCCAGTCTCCTCAGTCTTGTCAGTCCGTATCTCTTTCCTGGCACCACTAATCCTCCAGTACTTCCTCCTAGGCATCTACAAAGGACAAAGTTGATCATGAATAGAGATACTACAGATGTACAGTCAAGCCTTGTTAATATGAAAACTTAATTATTATAATCTGGTTTTAATAAGCATTAGGAATACCAAATTTTACCCCAAATTACATGTACTTGTAGATATAAACATTCTGTTCCCAACACATCCCTCATCAAGAAGATGATGTATAATCATAATTACCAAGGCTCAACTGTACATCCTTCTATATATAAGAAAAGGGAGGAAAGAAAGGGGAATAGAATTTTTTCCATCAAGTTTTGTATAATTTCAAAATTTCCAACCCATTATTAAAAGTTCAGAACACTTAATTTTCCAACCCATAATTAAAATGAAAAATCAGGTAAATAGAGTTAAAATTTGACATATCATCAACATAGGCCTAATTAACATGTTATAGAAAAGACAAATAAAAGGCAGTATATTGTGTAAATGAAACCAAAATAGAACAGGAAATTGTGAATTAAAACCAAATTTTTGATACTTGCTAGTCTCTGGGTGAGGTGTCTAAATACAATATTGCTCAGAGAATTGCTATCTAATTTGTCTTTTAAAGAATTTGGTACATTATGTACCACTTGATGCCCTATGAGAAAAACCGAAATGTTCCAATCAAATGAAATTTACCATTTTAATGCACATGACATCACTATATAATTGTTGCTGACCTTGACTAAATTAATGTAAAGGTTTAACATCTTTTAACTTTTGTTATAGAGAGATGCACAGATAAAGAACAAGTTGACATCAGATTTGTACGAAAATGCCTTAACAAAGAGTGTGCCGAATTCTAGTATCTGCGACTAGCAATTACTGAGAAAACTGTTACAAAAATTTAGTACCAACAGACACACAAGGGTACAAGAGATGTTTGTAAAACACTTATGCCCCCTTCCCCCCCAAACTGGAATTTTGTAAGTCAAAAAAGGGCATAATTCTGTCTAAAATGGTGTAATCCTATCCAATACATTTTTTTACCTAGATATTCAGCTGAAATATCTGTATACTAAATTTTATTTCAATATGTGCAACCTCTGCCAAGAAAATGAATGGAAACCGCAATCAAGTGGAAGTCCAAGGGGCATAATTCTAACAAAAAGAAATGTGATCGTACCCAAAACAGAACTTGACCTAGATATTTATCTGATATATCTGTATACATGTACTAAATTTCATTTCAATATGTGCAACCTCTACAAAGGCAATGAACAGAAACTGCAAATAAATGGAATTTTTTTCAAATTCCAAGGGGCATAACTCTAACAAAAAGAATGCGATCGTACCCAAAACAGAACTTGACCTAGATATTTATCTGATATATCTGTATACTAAATTTCATTTCAATATGTGCTACCTCTGCAAAGAAAATGAACAGAAACTGCAAATAAATGGAATTTTTCTAAGTTCAAGGGGCATAACTCTGTCAAAAATGGTGGGATCGTACCCAAAACAGAACTTGACTTAGATATTTACCTGATAAACCTGCAAAGCAAATTTCATTTCAGTATGTGCAACGGTTGTGAAGAAAATGAACGGAAACTAAATGGACCGACAGACCAACCGACTGACAGCAGCAAAGCAATATGCCCTCCCTTCTTCAAAGGGGGGCATATAAACAGTATACCCCTCCTTCGGAGTGGGCGTCTAAATTAATCATTTCTGCACAATGGAAAATGTATTCAACAATTCAATGCATTTGATTTTCTTTCCAATTAAATTATTTCTGTAACCATGGGATGAATTTTTTTGCATAGCAAAAAATCTTTCATGTCAATTAGATTACAGTCTTTAATAGAATTAGAGTACCGTATGGATATATAATATAATTTAAATAGTTCTTTTTAAAAAAGCGGAAGACGAAATCAAACCTTTTGCATACACTTTTCCATCAAGATAATTTGTTGTTACAAAACAGGGATTAATCTAGGGCATATTTACTACCAATATTCGGGTTTTCTCTTCACGTGAACATCAAATTTCCCCCTTTAAGCTTTTTAATGAGTAAAAAATTCCCCATATCTTCTTTTCTTTATAAAAACGGGGGTGGGGGGGGGGGGGGGGCTGGTAGAAATCAACATGATTATCAGAAAGTATGAAATAAGGTTTTACTTTGCTATTTGATGCACATTAAATGAAAAGTGAAAAAAAAATGAAAAAAAAAGATGCTTAAGTTCAATTGCCCCCCCCCCCCCGCCGCAGGGCTGTAGATAAACATCTCGGCCCAAAATTATTGATACGTCGGCCCATACACACCTCGGCCCAAGTAAACTTGTGATAGAAAAAATTAAATCAATGTCTGAATTGGTGTTATTAATAATATTAATCAAAAGATAACTTATTCTTCCAGACAATGATATTTTAAAAATCAAATAAGGCAGCGGGTTCTATGAAAAATGAATTGTTTATTTTTGAAACTGAATAAATTCTTTTTAGTCTTTAACTTGCATCTCTGCCATAGGGAAATGTGCAATATATATGGTAAGTAATACTATTTCAACACAGTGGGAATTTTATCATACCATTTTTTATTTAAAATATATTCATAATCTAAAATCCAAATATTGTGGAATCACAATTTTTCGTGGGTGTTTAATTTTTGTTGTTTTTGTGGTATGACAAGACCCATGAATTCATGTCCACAACGAAATGTAAAATTTCACACACATAAGTACTCATTAATTCTTGATCCACGAAATCAAATCCCCACAAACCAAGAAATTTTCCTCAAACCACAAAAATTTGACCCCACGAAAATATGTGATTTTACAGTAAATGTTGTATCTTATGGTATCACTTTGCATTGTTCCTCTGAGGAATGGAAACATATGACATGGGTCTATAATCATCTGTGAAAAGGAATGGACTACATGTAACATATGAAATGACTGAGACAGTGTTCAATGGAAGATAGATGAACAGACCCTAAACCTGTCATTGGGCCAAGATATCATGGGCCTGGGGTGTCACCCTGCACCAGCTGGACTGGTCCCCAGACCCCAGCCGATTTTCCCAATTTCTCCAAAAAGGGTAATTCCCCCAAAACCTAAATTAATCCCTGCGAATATAACATTATAATAGGAACAAAACAACACAACACATTCACATAATCAGTCTTTTTATTTTTTATTCAGAAAGGCCCCTGGATCATGATTCAAGACACCTCTTTGGTTTAAGTCAAAATCTTTCAATGTTGTGGGGGCCAAAGAGATTTGTTGTGGGGGCCAAAGAGATTAAAATTAAATTATGTTTTAGTATAAATCCATACAAGTGTTATTTGCAAGTTTTTAGATTAACAAATTACATAGTTATTAGTTAATAAACATTCTACAAGCTGATGAAAATTATACTTAAGTCTACATCTATTTCATGATCCTGGGGCTAGAAGACTACGGCATGTTACTTCAAATTATGACAAATAATATGTACTGCCTGCATTACTACATTGCTCATATCATGCTTCTCTTTTTCCTTGCATTTACTTTTTGCCCTCAACTTAGACATTTTGATTAATATTCATCAATAAAAATATTAATCTTGTATTCTAAATTGTTTTGCCGTATCCTAGACATCGTCCCATATATCTAGACTGCGAGTTTCCATCATGTCCATTGCGCATCGTATTTTCTTAAGCTTTCTGAATAAAGATGGGTGTGACCGTATCTGCATAAACATGACGCTATATGAATAGTTCTGTGTATAAAACCATCACACGTCTGACTTACTCGGCGACACTGATTGCAGAATAATTGTTGAATTCATAATAAATTTGCAAAATGGAAAAAGCTTCAAACAGTTTAATCAACTCAAATACCGTACGCAAATGAACACATCGCAACTCATTGAATCGCTTCGATGTTTCATGCATGTTTTAAAATATTACCTCTACTAATGAACGAAAACAAACCAGGTATATTAATTAGAGTTGAATTTTGGTATGTCTTTGATAACTGTCTTTCGTCCAACGCAATTCGCAACGTGGCCATAAACAAAGAGCCTCGTTTTGATTTCGTATGTTGTAATATTCGGAATGTCGAGCCCGATCAGAAACAAAATCGAAAGAAAAAACAGCGTCCTACCCACGGCGGGTCTCATAATAAAGATAAACTAGAATTTAAACTTTCCCAGGATGCTTTCACATAAGTTTAAGATTTCTGGCCAATTGGCTTTTGAGAAAAAGATTGTTAAAGAATTGCTTCTACATATTTCAATGAAAAACTTGGATTCCCTGTTGTGGCCGCGCCCTACCCCCCGGGGTCATGATTTCAACAATTTAGAGTCTACACTATCAAAGGATTTTTCCACATAAGTTTCAACTTTTATGAAACAGTGGTTCTTTAGAAGATGATTTTTAAAGATTTCCCCTAAAGTTATGTTTCAATGTAAAACTTTGATTCCCTGTTGTGGCCCCATCCTACCCCCGGGGGTCATGATTTTTACAATTTAGAATCTACACTACCCCAGGATGCTTCCACTTAGGTTTCAGCTTTTATGAAACAGTGGTTCTTGAGAAGAAGATTTTTAAAAATTTTCTCATAATTTCTATGTAAAACTTTGATTCCCCATTGTGGCCCCACCCTATCCCCGGGGGTTATGACTTTAACAATTTATAATCTACACTACCCCAGGATGCTTTCTCCTAAGTTTCAGCTTTTCTGGCCCAGTGGTTCTTGAGAAGAAGATTTTCAAAGATTTTTCCTATATATTTCTATATAAAACTTTGATCGGCCATTAAGGCCCTGCCCTTCCCCCGGGGGTAATGATTTTTACGATTTAGAATTTACATTATACCAGAATGCTTCCACATAAGTTTCAGCTTTACTGGCCCAGTGGTTCTTGAGAAGAAGATTTTTTAATGACCCCACCCTATTTTTGTCATTTCTTGATTATCTCCCCTTGTGAGGGGATATGTCCCTTCATTTTAACAATTTAAATTCCTCTTTACCCAAGATTGCTTTGTACCAAGTTTGATCAAAATTGGCCCAGTGGTTCTTAAGAAGAAGTCGAAAATGTGAAAAGTTTACGGACGGACAGACAGACAGACGGACAGACGGACAGACGGACGGACAGACAGACGGACGGACGACGGACAAAATGTGATCAGAAAAGCTCACTTGAGCCTTCGGCTCAGGTGAGCTAAAAATGTAATTCAGTAACACACAGTGTGAGATTCGAACTCACGATCATTATGTCTTCAATCCAGCAATCATACCACTATGCCACGAAGTCTTGGTAATCGAACTGATAAAATTAAGACAGATTGTTGAATTTTGAAATAATTTTAGAAGAAAAAGTAAATACATATTGTCAACATTTTCAATATGAAGACCACCTTTAACCAAAATTATCTAAACGTAATGAAGTGCAGTCACATCCAAATAAAATTATTCAGAAGTTGTTTTTCTGGTTAAGGGTGGTCTTTTCCTACAGTTTGTCATTGTTTAGGTGGGTACCTCAGTATTTATTATATTTTCCATTTAAACTGAACGAGTTTTATAACTATCATAAGAAGGAAATATTAATAATTTAGATTAATTTTTGTGTGAGTTGATTTAAGTCATGTATAAACAAACATTGTATGACACAATTTTGGTAAGACAACGTATTTAAAAAATCACTACTAGTGTAGGCGAAAGTGACTATCAAATGCGCTATGGCTCTTTTGACAGTAAGGGTTTACTTTACATTACCAATTTGTTTTCGCTGTCTGGAAAACCAGATAACGTGCTAGTGACTGTAGACAGAATGTTCTTTATTTCCCAATTTTGATAAGTATACTCTTGGTATGCTTTTTATGTTACCATGTCGTGCTTCTGCTGTCCATTAATAAAGAAAATGAGTAATGATTAAGAAATTTTGTTTTTTTAAGTAGATTAAGCATATAATTAAAGATTTTTGCAGATTATTTTATCTTACCTTTACTAAGAACTTAATTGTTACTTAATATTGGTTGATGTGGCCGGATATATTGGATCTTTCCATTTTATGACATAACAGCTAGAGTTCATTAATATATGGGTCAGTTGTTAGAAATAGAGACTACTTACTAGGAAATCAAAAATAATTTTCCCATTGGGGATATATTATGATTTTGGATAATAGGAAAAGTACTAACTTTTATGCCATTTTAGAATAGTTCTATATTTGCACTATGTCAAAAGCAAATTGTAACACCGGAATCAATCTTACTTTTCCGAGAAGTTAATAAATTACTTTGACTTAGTCGTTTTTTTTTAAAATTCTGGTTATGATTTTGCTACAAGTCGGTCTCGTCAACCAAGGCATGGAAAGCGTTCTGGGAAAATAAGTACGAGGGAAAGAATGGAGAGAAAAAATTAGGGTGACAGAGACACGATTAGGCTAACTGTAGATGAGAATTTGTCCCGATAATTAGGATCTTGAGTATCAAGACGATCAAGACAGATCTAATATCACATAAGTAACTTTAAAAAAAAATACTATTTTTATCAACACATATCCCTCCCTCAAGCACATCAGATTAAAGCATAATTCCATAATATTTCTATTTTAATAGAAAAGAAATAAAGAAGAACACTCTGTTCACTTGCCAGATAACCCAGTTTGCAGAATAGATATAGCAGAAATTATAGAATGAAACGTAATGCTTCTACATAAGTTATTTAAATAATTATTTTTCTATGAAGTTATTTTGTAAAAAGAAAAAGAAAAACACTTTCTCATAGATTTGGTCAATATACTTTTGAAATTGACTCAGGTTGACGTGTGTTACATATCCATACGTTTGCCTATCAAAGTGCACATTCTTATAATAATTTACGCAAAAAAATGTTTGAATATATGGGTCAATAAATTTTTTCATTCTATTTTGAGTTTTATAACTTGACAGTGCATGCTTCCTTATTTTTGACAGTTTTTAAGGACTGGCCATGGATGTCTTTCTCAAGTTCCAATATTTGCCGTTTAGTATATATGTTGCTGAGAGGCAATAGCAGATAAAAAAAATATATAACATTGACTTATCTTATGCCTATCAATTGCTGGGATGAATGTTTTTGATCTGAAACAAATTTTGTCAAGCTTTAGCCCATTTATTGCAAAGTAAAGAGCTACTTTTAAGTAACCAGCAAGTTCTACGAACATTTGGGCTATACTATTACAACAAACACTGTAATATTATTACAAATTAATTTGATGGCTATGATAATATGAACTTGTAGTGATAAAATTAAACTGTTTAGATCAGTTTAGATCTGCTTAGATCAGCTTAAGTCTCTGTTTGATTGTAGTTAAAAATCCCTTACAAGATAATTACATGACATCGAAGATGTCAAATATAAGGAACATTTTCTGACAATTTACGCACCTGGCTTATTGCATAAAATCTTATGAAGAGTTTGATGCCAAATTTTAGTGTATGCTTTGAGTGTACTTAACACAAACAAAAAATGGATTCGTGGATTGATATAGTTTTTTTAATGATTATGATTTGAAATGACATAAACAATAAATACCTTAAATATAAACAAATCATACGTTTTCCTTAGTGCTTAGATATGAAACTTTTATTTTGCTTTCTATATAATTCCTTTCAAAAGTTTGCTTGAATTTTAAACCTGAAGATAAAATCATATACAATATTCCCATGCACTATACTTGGCAAACATCATTCAGGTTACCAATTTAAATGTGAATCTATGAGAAATATTGCTGATTTCTGAAAAAAATAGTTTGAGTAAATTATCCTTATTTGCTTGGTCCTGTGTGATGTAGAACTTTTGGAAAACTAAAAAAATACTTACATTCAAAAATTCTTCAGTTAAGATTAAGGAGTCTTCCCACTCCCGTTAAACGTACAAAAGATTTATACTTAGAGATATCATCTACTGAATTCTGTCTTTTACGACCCGGAGACCAAAAATGTTGTTAAACGTGTGCTATATTTAAAAAAAATATGAAAAAAACTTTGACAGGAAGTTTGAATCGTAAAGGTTGTGCAGTGTTATAAGGATACACTTATATTTGTTTCATATAATCATGTCTCACTGACCTTAACCGGAAAAATGAGTAATTGTTGACGAAGTTTTTTTTTTCTTTAAGTAGATGAACCTCATATTATGAGATTCATCAAGTGATATAGTTTGTTATTTATTAACATTTTACTGTAGGTAAATATCAGTGATTTGGTCTATTATTTTGCATCTTCCTTTTGCTGTTTGAAAATGATTTTAATTTTAGATAACGGGATTAAAACAATTGCACTGAATGGCTAAGTTGATAGAGATATAGACTACGGGATAAATTAAAAACAAGAGACCCATGGGCCCCATCGCTCAAATAAGTAGGTGTGACCATGTATTGATTTACCAAATGCCCTCCTTGTAATATATATCATGACCCCATCCTACTACATGGGTCATAATTTGGACAAATAAATTTTACATTACCCAAGGATGCTTCCACATAAGTTTCAGCTTTTCTGTCCTTATAGTTCCTTGGAAGATACTTAAAGGATTTTCCTAATT